ATGGGTTTTTTGGTTTGTCTGTTTGTTTTTAACAGTCTCACCTTATCACCCTTGGTGTCACAGCTCATAGCAACCTCTAACTCCAGGGCTTAGGCGATTCTCTTGTCTCAGCCTCCTGAGTAGCTGAGACTACAGGCACCCTCCAGCTATTCTTTTTTGTTGCAGTTTGGCCAGGGCCAGGTTCGAACCTGCCACCCTGGGTATATGGGGCCGGCGACCTACACACTGAGCCATAGGCACTGCCTAAATTAAATAGTTTTAAAGTTCACTTTGTAGAATAAATTTCAGATTATCCAAGAAAATTTCTTAAAAGAAGCAAGTGTAGCTGGGTTTGGCTTGCTTCATATTAAAACTTACTCTGAAAACCTTTTAAATCATCAGCATATACACACACACATACCCCAATAACTGATACATATATATACACATAACATTAAAATAGAAGAGTACAGAAAAAGTGTAGAAAATTACATATGATAAACTTACCATTTTAATTCAGTGGGAAAAATTGTAGAGTTGGAGCACAATGTAAAAGAAAACAAATCTGAACCATTATCCCACTCTATAGCAGCAAGAATTAATTTCAGAGAGGTTAAAACTTAAAATAACAAATAGTTTACAATAATTTTAAGATAATATTGATACAACATTGAAGTCAGGATAACATTAAGCCAGTTAGAGACCCAAAAGGTCTAAAGATAAAGAGAAAATATTTAGTAATTTTAAAAGATAAAGAGAACTAACAAAGTCGTACCTTCCCTTTGTCTCTTTAATCAGTTATCTACATTGAAGTTTTGAAAACACAAATTTGATACTTTGGCTCCTAATTTAAAATTCTGAAATGACCATTGATTGCCAATTAGGAAAATCAACCTGTCAAAACATTCATAACCCCTGAGTATGGGATAACTACACTTTCAAAAATTGGTCATTGCCTACATGTCAGATTTTGTTCCTCTTTTTTCCTTTGTTTGCTTCTTTGCTCTTCACTAGTCTTCCTTCTGAACTCTGTACTTCTCTGGTAGCAATACACATATTTTAAGATTCCTGAACAGAGCATGAGCTCTCCCTCAGTAACTTCTTACATTTTCTTTTTCTCTGTGTGAAATTGTACTTGTTCACTCAACCCCCAACTGCTGAGACGTACAAACACACCCCATCTTTATTTACAAAATATTCATTACAAAATTTTACTAAGAGGTGGCCAACACACAGAATATTTTGTACATATTTTGTAGAATTTTGTAATGAATATTTTGTAAGTAAAGATACACTCAGTGTATCCCATTTCCCTGTGTATGGCGATTTTATGGACAACTTTTAGAATATAGTGTATAACAGTTTAATTCAGTGGTGATTTTAAATAAGAACTCATATCATATGATAAATCCTCCCTTTGAAAGATGAAATCAAATTCCCTCCCTCCTTAGATGGGGATGGACTTACAGACTCTTTCAAAAAATAAAGTGTGGCAGCAGCGACAAGGTGCATTAGTTCACAGACGTAGGTAACATTGTACTTCCTCCGCACTCCTGTGCTCTTGTGCTCTCTCTCTCTCCTCTCTCTCTCATTTGCTCAGGAAGAGGGCAGCCGCCATATCGTAAGGACACTCAAGATATTCTATGAAGACCTCCATGTGGCAAGAAATCAAAACCTCTTAACAATCAGAAAGAAATAAGGGCATTATTTCCATACTGTCTGAGGGAGATCCCCTAGGAGATCCCTCAGGATCCCTATACCTGAACCCTATCACCAGCCCTAACTAGCTACACCCCAGGTTGAAGTCTTCACTGCAACCTTGTGAGACTAAAGCCAGAACCACCCAGCTAAGCCATTCTTAAATTACAGAAACTCTGAGATAAGAAGTGCTGTTTTAAGCTACTTATTTTAGGGATAATTTATTATTTTTATAAAATAACAGAATACCTTCTATGTGAATGTTTTAATTCCTATGTTATGAATTTGTCAAACTCGTTTGAACCTATGAACCTGGAACCATTTCAGCATCATTCTTATAGAAGTATGTTGGAGAAATACAGGATGACAGAACTTTAATCGTTCTAGAGACTACTGATTAAATAGTAAGAACAGATTTAGAAATCCAGGAATATTTTTATTGCTGTCTGCCCATAACTGAATTTTTCTCCTAATTTTACACATAACAATCTTATCATTTTGACACATATCTTCTACTGTGTATCTTTATTAACACATTTTACGTGAGATAATACTGTACATAATGTCTTCAATTTAACATGAACATTTTCATGTCATTTACTATTCATCTCTAGTGTAGTCTTTAAACTTATCAACTGTGAGCTCCTCACTCCCTTCACCACTATCAGTCTAGATTAGGTGACTATTAGGTATCTTACCTCAGCTGAACCCCTAAAACACAGGAGGCTTCCATCTACCCTTGCCCCAGGCAGAAGCCAGGCTGAGGCTTCTAAAATATCAATAGGGTCAAATCACTCCTTTTCTCTCAAAATCTGGCTGCTGGCCTCCTTTCTGGTTTCATTTCCTACCACTTTCATTGTTGATCACGGCTACCTAGCTAGTAACTGGGGCCTTATGCTCGTCTCTGTCTGGATGTCACACAGGGCTCCCTACCTCACTCACTACCTTGTTTCATTTAATTCTCTGCTCAAAGGTCACTTCTTCACTTCTTCAGAGAGGACTCCCTGGTTCTCAAGAAGCTCATTTTAAAAAACCTACTTCCATTACCTATTTAATTTTTTATATAATATAATCATATCGTTATATGACATCACATTATATTTGCTTCATTATGTGAAATGACATATTTATTATTTTTCTCCCCAAACTAAAATACCAGTTCCAACAATTCAGGCACTTGGCTTATTTCTCTCTCAATCTTCATTGCTTAAAACAGCACCTGGGACAGGGCAAGTGCTCATATTATATATACATACATATAGTAACATATATATATAATATATATATATTTTAGTTAAAGGACTATATATGTATCATTTTAACAATAATTATTAATGTACAAAATTACTTGATATCACCAGTTTTTCCTATTATATAAAATTATGCCATACACATGCATATCATATAGGCCATAAACATGTGTAGGAAGCACACAGTATGTTGTCTTAAAGACTTCTGAGTATAAAGGTACAAGCATTTTTATAGTTTTTGATACATATTGGGAAACATGCCCTCTATCAAAAGTGTTACGCTTTGCATCACTCCAGAAATGAACGGGGGCCACTTTCTTCTCACCCGGCATGACAGTGTGGGTTTTCCCTTTTAAGCACTGTAGTAGGTGAAAGACGACTTACCTTTTTCAGCTACTAAAGGACATATTTTTACATTAGTATCCACTTAATTTCTTTCTGTGTGCTTATTTTTTCTTCAGGACTTTCTCATTTCTCCTGACTTGCCATTATTCCTTGGTAGCTCTTTACCTTATTGCGTAAGCTATGTCATTTCCCCCAGTTTGTTATTTGGCTCTCAATTTCAATTACTGTTTTTCTTTTTCCAGTTACCATACACAATTTCAAATTTTATACAGTCACATTGATCATACTCTTTCCCCGATTCTCTAAGTGGCTCTTCACTTTGCTGTCATTCTGACAATGCTTTCTTATCCTCTATTTTAAAAGTAACCATTATTTCCTTCCAACATTTAATTTTAATAAAAGTTTATATATCACAGCAGGGATTTGAAAGTAAGCTGTGAAGAAGGGCTTTTATTTTTTTCCCCCCTCAACTGGCTCCCCAGTTGTCCCTTCCTTTTAATAATACATCTTTTCTCTGAATGAGAAATTGTGAGATGCCACTGCTTTTAATATTTTAAGTACATAAACAACACACCCTGTCCTCCCCTTCTTCTTTAAAAAACAAGTTTAGAACCTGATGCAATGCCGTCCTTCAGCGAATTATTAAGGAACAGAGAAATATTTTTATTGCCATGCCCCAGTAACTTATTTGATATTGATTATCCAGTAATTTCATATTAGTACTTGAGTAATACTTGGTACACTTACCAAGAGACCCATAAACTTTGCCCGAGCCACATCATAACCCAGTTTAAGAATGTCAATTTGTTCAAAACAAAGTCAATTATCGCTTTAAATCAAGGTTCGCGTCTAGAAGCTTAAAACAAGTACGTCAGGGTTCTTTCCTGAAAGCCTTCCGAATCCTGGGCGTCCGGTAGGGAAGAAGGGACACAGAAGAACCCATGGAAGGCTCTGTCAGATCTAGGAAGACAGACTCAGCCCTAAAAGCCCATGGAGCTAATAAAAACAGGTAGTAGGGGGACTCTCTACACAGATCCTCTCAACTGTTTCATGTTTTAGGTGTTCCGATTTTGAACGAAATCGCTGGGGTTTCAATACCCTGAGGCATTGAGAAATACTAGGAAAAATACGGCAGGAAACTAGTCTCTTTGAAGCCTTAGAAAAGTAAAACACTTAATTCTGAACTCCAGGAGGGCAGTTTTTTCTAATGTGCGCGGGTTTCTTTCTCGCCGGCCGTTCACTTGAACGTTTTAATGCTTGCTCTCGAGGCCCAGACCTCTCAATAATTTTAACCAAAACGCAAAGTGCAGAAGACGAAATTAGGGGGAATGTTACTAACACCTCACTAATCTCTACTAGCTCCTTCGGAGCTGGCGAGGCAGCAGCCCTGCGAGATAAGAATGAGGTGCGGGGCGTCCGCGTGCGGCGGCGCCTTCCCGCAGCCCCTTCAGCCGGGCCGCAGCCTCGCGCAGTCAGCTCCCTCCACGGCCAACTCCAAGGGCGGACCCCCGCATGTACTTGACTTCTCCCTACACCAATGCCCCTTCCGAAATCTCTTCGGGGCCCTGCACCCACTTTGCCGTCTCCTTCCCTTCCTAACCATTCCAAAATTTGAAGGTCCGGCCCTAAACGCCCGCCGCGTCTCCGTAGCAACTGCGCCTATTCCCAGCGGCCGGAAGAGCCTGAGGTCCAGTGATCCAGTACTTCCGGGTTCCTAATGTGACTTCCGGTTGTCAGAATCTCCGCAGATTGGGCGGCGGCGGTAGAGCCGGGGGCTGCTGCGTGGCCCTAGGTCGCCGTGGCCCAGGTGCTGGTGGGCCCCAGGTGGGCTCGCGTCATCCTGTCCCGGCTGCGATGCATCCGCGGCGCCCGGACGGATTTGACGGCTTGGGCTACCGGGCTGGTGCCCGGGACGAGCCGGGCTTCGGCGGCCCTTTCCCTGCAAGGTCCTTTAGCTCTGGGTCAGATCTGGGCCACTGGGTGACGACTCCCCCCGACATCCCCGGCAGCCGCAACCTGCACTGGGGCGAGAAGAGCCCGCCCTACGGAGCGCCCTCCGCCAGCACCCCGTACGAAGGCCCCGCGGAGGAGCCCTTTCCCGGCGGCGGCGGCGGCGGCAGCGGCAGCGTGCAAGGGCCGAGTAGTGGTGAGGAAACAGGGGAGCAGGGCGGGGTGGGGTACAGAGCTACCGCTCGTGGCCTGCAGACCCCAGAATCCACGGGGAGAGTCCCGCCTCCGGTCCCTTCTCTGCCTATCGCGCGCCACACCCTCTGCCCTCCTTTCGTCCTCTGCCCGAGAAGCAGGCCTCCCTCTTCCTCACACCAACGTATGCTGCGGGATCGCCTCCAAAAAAGACATCTGCCTTAGCCACGGGGGTGCATAATAGATATTTTAGGTATTTTTGGAGTTTGCGTCCCTGGCCTGAATCAAGGAAGAAGGAGCCTGGATTATTTACTATTACCTAATTCATTTTAACAGCTGCATTTTCTAGATTGACTTGTAGTTTTGTGTTCTGGAAGGAGAAGCATAGGCAGATTTAGGTTTAGGTTCAGGTTCAGCCCTGCCACTCATAAACCGAAAGACGTTCTCAACTTCTGTGAGCCCTCAGTCTTCTCATCTTGAAGATGTGTAGACTGATAGGTTTTTTTGAACAAATAATAAAATGAAGTATGGGTAACGCCTGGGACAGCATGGGACACATAGTAGGCTAGAATAAATTAGTTTTCTACCTTTTACTTTTTAATCACAGGAGTTTTTATCTATCTGCTTTTTAGTTTCCCAATCTAGCAATTTTCGTCCCTGCAATTTTACTTTTGTCTTCCTCCTTAAGAATTAGAAACACTGATAAAATTTCAAGATAGGACTTTGGAGAAAAAACATAATTGTTCTCTATAGGTTGTTAGAAAAACCTGTGTGTTAATGGCAACACTGCATAATCTAGATATTTTCAATATCCTTTTTTATTCATCAAATGTAAATAAATAAAGGCTTCTGCTTTCCATTCTCTTGGAATTGTGAAGATAACAAATTGTTATGAAGTATATCATAGATAAGCATTTTATTCTAATTTCATCAATTTTGACTTGGAAATACAATATTTATTTCATTTGCATTAACTGGGAGGAATAGATTTTAATGATTATGTAGTGAGAAAATGGTTGATGATATATCATATTATACAATTAGGTTTTGACTCTTACCTGGTTTTCTTTGTATTGTGTCATTATGGTCCCAGAATAATACTGGAAAGGTTTTCTAAATTATAAATTAAGTAATTCAAAATGCATATATAGATACTACAGAGTTAACTTTCTTAAACAGTAAAGTTTATGTTTTTATCTTTTTAAAAGTTATTGCTTTGATGGTTGCAATGAGGAGGTGCTCATTAACAAAACCAGAGGTTTATTTTGCAGCCCTTAACAGGTGAGTATAAGTTTGCAAGAGAGATGTACACAGTTAACAGTATACCTTCCTAACACCTGCCAGAAAATGTCAGTGGCATTTTCTCTTTATATTTGGGAATTATCTATAATGCCAAGAATAGTTATACGTTTGTTAAGGGAGAACCACATAGTTTCCCCAGGAACATGCCCTTGTTCTGACTAAAACGGAATAGCGGGGGCATTGTTTCACTTGAAAGATGAGAAGAGTAAAAGAAAGAATTGTCCCTTGTGAATATTACAGTTAAAATTCTAGTTAATTAATGTCCAGTTCCCTGGGGCTGTAGTTTACCCACATGACTTTGGGTTTTTTAGTCGAGGAAAAAGGCTTTTCTCTTTTGACATATGCGTAGGAATGTTTTTGGATGTGAACTTTGTCAATAACACTACAGAGATGGTATCAGTAGTAGCACATTTGTATACATAACCTATTCCTGTTAATTAAATAGTTACTCTCAAGCTATTTAAAACTTGAGGAAATGGGGAAGAAGGACGTTCTATTTACCCATTTTGGTTACTCTAAGTATTCTTTAAAATTAAATCAACCATCAATAACGGGCGATAACTAGTTTTACAGAACAGGAGGTATAGTTGTTGGTGTAAGTATCAGTCAGGGCTATCTGTAAAAAAAGTGTTTTATTTGATTGTAATCAGTGAATACTTAAAAACTGGAAGATTTACATGAAAAATGAGATTTTGAAAAATCACAGCTTAAAAACCCTTGACCCATAGTCCCACAGGACAACGGTGAATTGGAACAAAAGAGCAGTTACCCTTTAAGAGATCTACCTTGCGACTTGCCACAAGCCCCAGAAGAGTCCTTCATTCATTTAAGTGATTTCTCTGAGCCCTATCAGAATTGACCTTGACTTTGAGGTTTAGCTGTATAGCATATTAATAAAAGAAGATAACTTTTTTGTTTTTGTAGTAATCCTAAATATTGGTTATGAGTAATCTTTTTCCTTTTATTTTAGAACAGTTGAATAGATTTGCTGGATTTGGCATTGGACTTGCAAGGTAATGTTTTATCTAAATTTTTTTTAAGTATTTATTTAGAATTTTTTTCTATTCATTTATAATATAAAGTAATTAGTATTTCTTCTTTATGTTGTTTCTTTGAAACAGCAGGTTAAATATGGAATAATAATTTGCAGGAAAAAATGCTCATTATTTTAAAATCTATAACTCGATGTTTTTTCTGGAAGGGGTAGAGACTAGTCATCCATTTTATAAACACAAAGTAATTTTGTAATGAGTATTATAAAAACTTCCATGGGTCTATCCAAAGAATAAAATCCAATATAATCTTCCCTCCTTCTCCAGCAAAAATAGTAATTGTACATTGAACCTTCTGTCTAAACATTTGAATACTAACAAGATATTTAGTAGCATAGAGTTTAGATTTTGCTTATAATCAGTGTCTGGTTGTCAGCATTATATATGTATTTTTTATTTTTAAAGATCATTTTGTTTAAGAAAAGCCTTTAGTCTTGATTATTGTGATCATAGTGAATACCAGTTTCAAATGCATTGGAATTGGATAAGACTTAAATTTCATGCCAGAATGACCATTATCTTTTAAATATTTGAACCCAAGAGAAAGGCCTTATTTGCATAGTTAAACCTAAAGATGTTAATGTCAATATAAGTCAAATCAGTTCCCCATTCTACTTTCTGCTAGCTAGTTTTGTGAGCCTCACTATTTATATGTAAAGCTTTTGTTCATTGATAGAATGTTAATATATATGAATGTGCATACACCTACATGTACATGTCACTCTTGGAGTATAAACTTATAGCTGTAATAATTTTGTGGGAGTATTCTCAAAAGAAATATTTAATACGTAAAGTAGTAGCCAATTAACATGGTCATCAAAAATCTTATGTAAGATATATCAAAACCAAAATTTTTAGAATGGAGTTCATGAAGAAAACATGACTCTGGTGATAGAAACTGTGTACATAGGGCATTTACTGAAAGAAGCAGAAATTCAGTGACGTGATAATACTATTTAATAGGTATGTCACTTCCCACATCAAGCATACAGAGAAGTAGTTTCATGTTTATACTATAGATATTACTATTATGTATTGTTTCCCTTTACTAGTTTACAGATTTAAATTGTTTTGGTTTTTTCTTATATTGAATTTGTGTTCGGTGGAATCATTTGCAATCATATCTAGACATTTTAAATAATTCATTTTTTTTAAATATAGAGAACATAAAATAATGCATGATGTTTCAGGTAGAAATAATTTCAGATGCATATATGTTATAAATTAAATTTGTCTCTGTAAAGACAGATATATATGCATAAATTATTTTTATATAGTCTCTTTACAGAAAATGTACTGGCCCATCCTTGCATTGTTCTACGCCGCCAATGTCAGGTAAATGTAATTTCTGTGACCTTCTGAAACAATTATAATAACCTTGATTTGAAGTGCAGAACTCAGATAAATGACACAAAGCCATGTGACCATTATTCTGTGTGAGACGTTCCACAATCTTTATCAGTTCTCATACTTTTTGGTCTCAAATCTTCCTTAAATCTTAAGATTATTGACATTACCAATCTACTTTGGTTTATGTGGGTCGTCTCTGTTGATATCTACCATGTCAGAAATTAAAATTCAGAAAATTTGAATATATCTATGCAATTCATTAAAATAAACTCATTAGATAGGAAGATAAATAACATCTTTATGAAAAATGACTGTTTTACATTTTTGTAAATGTGTTTAATGTCGGGCATTCTAGGAGGCAACCAGATTCTTAGATGTGCTTCTGCAGGCATTCGGTTGCAATGTGTTGTTTTGAAAGAAACAAAGGCCAGCCGTATACACCCACATACTTGAAAACAGGAGTATTTTATGTCTTTTCCAGATAATTGGGGGTTTTATTCTTTGGAATTACACCAAAACTCACTAAGTGGTAGTTCCTTAAAGGTTATTTATAATGTTAAATCTGAAAGTACATTAATGAACTTTTTATACTTTGTCCATTAATTTATACTGCATTTTGAATGGATATGTTTACCCACTGTGCATTGGTTATTCATAATATATTGATTAACTGAATATAGATCTGCCAGATGTGAAGTCTTTTTTTATAAAATATATATACATGTATGTTTATTAAAAACACTACTAATCTCACTAGAAAAGTTTTTTAAGTATTGGAAGTTTTTGATGGTGATTATAGATTTTCCAAAATTCTGATTTGTACTTGAAAACTCAAATTTATCATTGACAGCTTTTTTAAATCAGTAAGTTCACTTTGTTTATTTTTAAGAATATGTCAGTTCCAAGTGTGAATAGCTTATAGTCTATCAGTGAGTTTCTCAAGCAAAAATGGTGAAAAACTAGGCTAGATTAGCTTACAAGCCCATCATACAAGTGCTTTCTTCCTATTCCTCTTATTTCTGTAATACACAGGATATTTATTAGGTGGTGTATACTCAAAGAGGTCATGGCTTAAAAGATTAATATTGTTTGTTTTTTTGGGTTTTTTTGGCCGGGGCTGGGTTTGAACCCGCCATCTCTGGCGTATGAGGCCTGCGCCCTACTCCTTTGAGCCACAGGCACTGCCCCAAGATTAATAATTTTTACTGCTTCTTCAAGGATGTTCCTACATGGAAGGTTGCTTTTTTCCTTCTTATACATAAGTAGGGTGGAAAATAAAATTAGCATAAAAATATAGGTTGATGCCACTCCCTTGATTTGTGCTAAAGAGCTAGTGTTTTTACCCACTGTTGCTTTTGTGCCATTAGTAAAAGTATCAGCATAATCAAAAAAAGCATTTGATGCCTTAGTATAATTAAGAAAATAATTTGGATTTTGTTGATCTCATGAAAGGGTAATGGGGCCTTTGGCTTTCAGTGGACCTGACCCTGTGGCAAGCTCTGCTATAATATATAATAAACCTACCTTTGTTGCAATGTAATTGTTCCCATATTTGTTTGCTGTTAAAGAGTTCAAAACAGTATAAATTATTACAGCTTACTCTGTTTACACTTAGCATCAAAAAATAAGTACGGGCTCGGTGCCTGTGGCTCAAGCGGCTAAGGCGCTAGCCACATACACCTAAGGTGGCAGGTTCGAATCCCCAGCCCAGGCCCGCCAAACAACAATGATGGCTGCAACCAAAAAATGGCCAGGCATTATGGCGGGTGCCTGTAGTCCCATCTACTTGGGAGGCTGAGGCAGGAGACTCGCTTGAGCCCAGGAGTTGGAGGTTGCTGTGAGCGTGATGCCATGGCACTACCCAGGGGGATAGCTTGAGGCTCCATCTCAAAAAAAAAAATAATAAGTATGTAAGGAGAAATAGCATTGACAGTATACATGCCTCAGAACAGTGTATTTCAGATATATATTTTGCATTGTAATAATATTACATTGTGATCCAGTCTGTGTGTGTATATGTAACAAATGTATTATTTTAAAATGTCCTATGAAAATACCATTAGAATGTGTGATCATTCTAATTTTTTATGATCAAAACATGTTGTTTTGATCTTCCTCAATTGATTTCATAATTTAACAACAAATTTCAATCTATAGTTTGAAAATGCTTGGCTAAAATGATTTTAGGAGATAAAATTCAGTTGTTTAAGGCAACACAAATATCAAACAAGATCCTCTTTTCTATATAATCTACATTACTATATATATTATGCATTGGACTTCAGATTATATTTATATAGCCATATATACTGTACTTTGAATAGATTACTTTAAACACTTTCAAGAGTAATTTTTCTTATGTATGATTTATATGGACTTTAGAATTGAGTGTTTGTTTATGGCATAATTCCACTATATGTCTTTCATAGCCTTGTTCTTTATTGACAAAGCAATAACAAAAAAAGTCATGAAGTACCTTTTTTACAGGTTAATTACCATGCTCGGCATTATCATCTCACTCCATTTACAGTCATCAATATCATGTACAGCTTCAACAAAACTCAGGTAAGAATTAGTCTATAGATTCCATTAAAGGTGTATATAATATGTGTCATTCGGACTTAGTAGTCATTAAAGCAAGAATAATTTTAATTTGGTTAATAGAAATATCTTAATGGTTGTAGTAAAAGTAATGTAGCATTTGGATTACATTTACAAACATTTGATTACATTTACATTACATTTGGATGACGTTTGGATTCTTCCAAAATTGCACTTAATTAATTTAGAAAAACTTTAGAGAACTGTGCTAAGCTCCAAGAACACAGCAGTAGGTAGGATCCTATCTCTGCTATCAAGAGGCTCATAGTTTAGTCAGGAAGGCCAAACCTTAAAAGAGAAGATTGTGGTGCAGCAAGGTAAATAAATATATTGTTAGAAGGATAAAATGCTATCAGAGATAGAAAAGAGGTACTTTATCAAAGTTGAGAAAAGGGAATGGCTAGGAAAAATTCTGGGGAAAGGGATACCAGAGTTTTGTACTGAGTGTCATGAAGTCTACCTCTTCATGATGAGGGTAGAGAAAGGTTTTTAAAGTAGATGTGCAAAGACAGAAGAGAAGGAGAAATTATAACGTTTTGGAATAGATTGAAAACAGTGCAATGAGAGTTGGAGCAGGGGTTGAAGAGTAAGAGAAAGATGAAAAAGTACCCTGAGAAGTAAGCAGGTTCCAGGTCAAAAAGTGGCTTCAAAAAAACGGCACACCCTTGCTCTTGAAAGCTGCAACAGTACCACTGAAGATGTTTCAGTAGTGAGCAAAGGATCTTCAACAAACTTGGATTGTTTCATAAATATCCAACATGTACATAGTTGAATACACTAATTTCACTTCTAGGAACTTATGCCACATAAATGAGCACATGTATATGTGACAGTATATATGCAAGGTTGTCATTTGGCATCATATATAATATATTGGAAACAAAGTCCATCAAGAGAATTCCAGTAAATTAATTATGGCATATTTATATGGTAAAACACCATGTAGCCTTTAAAAATAAGGTTTATGTTGTGTTTACAGATACAGAATTATTAACTGTACACACACACACATGCAGACATACTTGTATATATCTATGGATGGTCTCTGGAGAACAAATAAGAAACTGCTGCTAGGGGACTGGGATGCAAGGAGACAGACTTCACATAATCCCCTGTTGCTTTTCTTTTTATTTGTCCTTGTGTTTGTATTATTTATTAAAACAGAAGAAGAATTAGTTGCCTTTTTTTATTTGTCCTTGTCTTTGTGTTATTTATTAAAAACAGAAGAATGGGAATAGCACATGGTATTGTGGAAAGGAGCAAGATCAGAGACAAATTAGTCAAATTTATATAAAGTAATGGTGTAAGGATGGAGAAAAGAGTATGGATTTGTGTGATACTGAGGGAGTAGAATTTATAGAACTTGATGAATTATAGGAAGAATGAGAGAAAAGTGTTCTCTAGGTAGATGATTTGAACATTAGGATGATAAAGTTGCAATCAAGGAAGATGGGAAATACAGTAGAGAAGCAAAGAATTGCTGGGGTGTGAGTAGATATGATCAGTTTAAGTTAGGGATAGGTAAGTTTTAAGATACCTGTGTGAAAAGGTTGAATATATAAGTATTAGGGTTATTTGACAAGTTAAACTATCCTTGGGGATATTTAATTAATTGGAGTGTTCATCTTGGTCTAAACATAAGCCACCTAACAAACTTTAAAATAATGATAGGAAATTAGTTTAGTTGTTGTGTACTAAGATTTCTATTAAAATAATGCTTTATTAGAAAATATTGGTAAACATTCAGTATCAAGTATTATTTAAGAACTGGTATGTTAGGCTAGCATGGTGGCTTACAACTGTAAATTGTAGCACTCTGGGAGACTGAAGCAGGTAAATTGCCTGAGCTCACGGGTCTGAGACCAGCATGCACTAGAGCAAGACCAAGACCCCATCTCTAAAAATAGCTCAGTATTGTGACAGGTGCCTGTAGTCCCAGCTACTTGGGAGGCTGAGGCAAGAGAATTGCTTAAGCCCAAGAGTTTGAGGTTACTGTGAGCTATGATGCCACGGCACTCTACCAGGGGTAACAAAGTAAGACTGTGTCTCAAAAATATAAAAGAACTGTTATGTTTTATATTTTGATATTAACAAAAATAACTCTAAATTTTGTTCATTTTAGGGACCAAGAGCCCTATGGAAAGGAATGGGAAGTACATTTATTGTCCAGGGAGTCACACTTGGAGCAGAAGGCATAATTAGTGAATTCACACCTTTGCCAAGGTACCTTCATGGTGTTTCTTCAATATTAGTTTCATATTAAGTTTTAATAAAATGCAATAGTTTCTAGAAACGCTTTGAATCTGAAAACTTGTCTTAAGTAGCTAAGAAAGGAAACAGAGGTTAGAATTAATTAATCACATCTTATTGAATTAGTATGTGATAAAGAAATTTCTTCTTGGTCTAGCATCTGTAGAGATGTCCAGCCACTGGCAGCTAAAGAATAAGTAAGAGTATGAAAGCAATTCCTGTTCTTCACAGCACTCAGTCTGGTGAAGACGTGTGTGAGCTAGTGACAGTACATGGGTGACTTGTGCTATAATTAACCCCCATCAGAGTTCAAGGGGCACTTTGGCTGGAGTTAAAATAACTGAAATCTGAGCTAGGTCTTGAATTATGAATAAGAATTGACTTGGCAGAAAAGGCACTCTTTCCAAGAGGTACCATCATGCCCAGTGTTGTGGAGTTGGTCTAATAAAAACAAGTTTCTTAGACTTGCAGTATTGGGTATGTATGAAGCGAACTGTTAGGAAAAGAAGCTATGGTGTTAAACTGCGATTGTACCTTTGTAAGGAAGGGATCGTGCCGTTGTGAAGTTAGAGGAGTCTAAGGTTTCCTTTTGGTTTCCTTTTTTAATGTAAAGGTATTCTAATCAAGGATATTCTCAAGTGGTAGTGTAAAAAGAAAATTGACTGGTGTGGGCAGACTTGTGGAGAGTAATCTAGGCCATATTGAGAAGGTTCTGAACTATGGAACAGAACACAAAGGGATGAGCTGGGTAGGCATTTCTGAAGTAGAATCGATGGTATCTGGTGTTAGAAGGAGAATGAGTGGTCAGCAGTAACTGAGAATTTTAGATTGAAAAATGTTACCCCAAATGGGGAATTCATAAAGAAGTAGAGAAAAAGGGCAGCACTGGTGGCTCAAAGGAGTAGGGTGCCGGCCCCATATGCCAGAAGTGGCAGGTTCAAACCCAGCCCCTGCCAAGAACCACACACAAAAAAAAAAAGTAGAGAAAAAGGTAAGAAATTTAACTTTGAATAAATGAAGTTTGAGGAGCTTCTGGCAAGAAATGTAGGGGGTCATATCTAATATGGGGTTGGAACTATGGAGGAGTGTCTTAGAGAAAATTTGTAGCAGAGGTGTAGCTTTCAGCATTGTGGCATAAAAGTAGCATCTAATGCATTATAATGGAAGAAACTACCTCAGAAGAAAATGTACATTAAGTGACATAAAGTGAACCAAGAACAGACTCCTGCATCTGCTCTGTGTGCATGAGTACCATACATGTACATGTGTGCTGGGGCAGGTGATTGAGGGAAGGAGGCAGAGACTCCTGCATCTGCTCTGTGTGCATGAGTACCATACATGTACATGTGTGCTGGGGCAGGTGATTGAGGGAAGGAGGTAGAGACTCCTGCAGCTCCTGCATCTGCTCTGTGTGTGCATGAGTACCATACATGTACATGTGTGCTGGGACAGGTGACTGAGGGAAGGAGGCAGAGACTCCTGCAGCTCCTGCATCTGCTCTGTGTGTGCATGAGTACCATACATGTACATGTGTGCTGGGACAGGTGATTGAGGGAAGGAGGTAGAGACTCCTGCAGACTCCTGCATCTGCTCCGTGTGTGCATGAGTACCATACATGTACATGTGTGCTGGGACAGGTGATTGAGGGAAGGAGGCAGAGACTCCTGCATCTGCTCTGTGTGTGCATGAGTACCATTCATGTACATGTGTGCTGGGGCAGGTGATTGAGGGAAGGAGGTAGAGACTCCTGCATCTGCTCCGTGTGTGCATGAGTGCCATACATGTACATGTGTGCTGAGACAGGTGATTGAGGGAAGGAGGCAGAGGTGCCCTCAGAACAAATTGAAAATAGCGGTAAGATATAACATAGCAAAGATGGAAGATTAGAATTGTGGATAAATTGGTATAGAGAGGTGAAGTGAAATTAGAGAAATCTCCTGAGTCTCTGTAAAACAGGGTGTGATTTTATTTGGTAGGATAAGCTTGCAGTTGTAGTATAAAAGCATGAGAGAAATGATACACATTTGGGACACACAGTGATGGCTGGCTAGCAAGGGAATCCTACAGAGAACATACCAAAAGAATGCTAATAGATAAGATCAGAAATCATAGCTTTTTTTAGGTGCTGTTTGGCATTACTCTGTGATTTTCTTTATTAGCACTGCATTTTTGTGTATCAGCCTATGCATAATGTTAAAGGTTTTTAATGGTTTGTTGATCTAAACTTAGCTGCTGGCAGGGTAAATTTTTTGGATTGTTGAGGAAGCAAGGTATCCACTAGTGGATCACATATAATTAATCTTGGGGTTTAGTCTTTATAGGGAAGGCAGAGAAGGCAAGAGAAACTGAGAACAAGATTTTTTCCAACGTGATTGCTATCTTTTATTTCATTTTTTTAAATTAATGTACATAGCTGTGTACATTGATGCAATTATGGGGTGCAGTGTGCTTGTCTTTTTTTTTTTTTTCTTTTTGCCCAGGGCTGGGTTTGAACCCATCACCTCCAGCATATGGGACTGGTGTCCTACCCTTCTGAGCCACAGGCACCGCCAAAGGTGCTTGTTTTATATACAATTTGAAATACTTTCATCAAACTGGTTAACATAGCCTTCACTGCATTTTCTTAGTTTTTGTATTAAAATATTTATATTCTACTCTTAGTAGATTTAACATGTACCCTTGTAAAATGCACCATAGGTGTGGTCCCACCAATTACCCTCCCTCAACCCATCCTCTCCCCTCCCCTCTCCTCCCTCATCCCTTTCCCCATATTCTTGGGCTATAATTGGGTTATAGCTTTTCAATTGGGTACAAATTGGTTTCATAGTAGGGCTGAGTACATTGGATACTTCTTCCATTCTTGAGATACCTTGCTAAGAAGAATATGTTCTAGCTGTGTCCATGTAAACATAAAAGAGGTAAAGTCTCCATTTATTTTAAGGCTGCATCATATTCCATGGTATACATATACCACAATTTATTAATCCAGTCATGGGTCGATGGGCACTTGGACTTCTTCCATGACTTAGCAATTATGAATTGGACTGCAGTAAACATTCTGGTGCAAATATCTTTGTTATAAAGTGATTTTTGGTCCTCTGGATATATACGTAATAGGGGAATTGAAGGATCGAATGGCAGGTCTATTTCTAGATCCCTAAGTGATCTCCAAACATCTTTCCAAAAGAAACATATTAGTTTGCATTCCCACCAGCAGTGCAGAAGGGTTCCCTTTTCTCCACATCCACGCCAACATCTATAGTTTCTGGATTTTGTGATGTGGTCTAATCTTACTGGAGTTAGATGATATCTCAAAGTGGTTTTGATTTGCATTTCTCTGATGATTAAGGATGATGAGCATTTTTTCATGTGTCTATAGGCCATGCGCCTGTCTTCTTCAAAGAAGTTTCTCTTCTAGTCCCTTACCCACACTGAGATGGGATCACTTGTTCTTTTATTGCTAATACGTTTGAGTTTTATGTGAATTCTGGTTATTAAACCTTTGTCAGAGACATAACCTGCAAATATCTTCTCCCATTCTAGGGATTGTCTGCTTGCTTTACTTACTGTGTTCTTGGCTGTGCAGAAGCTTTTTAGTTTGATCAGATCCCAGGAATGTATTTTTGGTGTTGCTTCAATTGCCCCTTTGGGGTGGGGGGTCCTCCTGATAAAATACTCTCCCAGGCTGATTTCTTCAAGTGTTTTCCCTGTACTTTCTTCTAGTATTTTTATAGTTCCCTGTATTAAGTATAAATCTTTAGTCCAGTGAGAGTCTATCTTAGTTAATGGTGAAAAGTGTGGGTCCAGTTTCAGTCTTCTACAGGTTGCCAGCCCGTTCACCCAGCACCATTTGTTAAATAGGGAGTCTTCTCCCCACTGAATGTTTTTAATTGGCTTATCAAAGATCAAATGACAGTAGGTAGCTGTGTTCATCTCTTGGTTCTCTATTCTGTTCCGTACATCTAACTCTCTGTTTTTGCACCAGTACCATGCTATTTTGATCACTATTGATTTATAGTATAATCTGAGGTCTGGTAGCATGATACCTCCTGATTTGTTTTTATTTCTGAGTAATGTCTTGGCTATTCAAGGTTTTTTCTGATTCCATATAAAACAAGGTATTATTTTTTTGAGGTCTTTAAAGTATGACAGTGGTGCTTTAATAGGAATTACATTAAAATTGTGTGTTCCTTTGGGAAGTATGGACATTTTAACAATGTTGATTCTTCCCAGCCATGAGCATGGTATGTTTTTCCATTTGTTAACATCTTCAGCTATTTCTTTTCTTAAGAGTTTCATAGTTCTCTTAGAGAACTTTTACGTCCTTTGTTAGGTAAACACCCAAATATTTCATCTCCTTTGGCACGACTGTGAAAGGAATAGAGTCCTTGACTTTTTTTTCAGCTTGACTATTGTTGGTATATTTAAAGGCTACAGATTTGTGAGTATTGATTTTGTAACCTGAAACATTGCTGTATTCCTTTATCACTTCTAAGAGTTTTGTAGTTGAATCTCTGGGGTTTTCCAGGTACACAATCATATCATCTGTGAAGAGTGACAGTTTGATCTCCTCTGACCCTATATGGATACCCTTGATTGCCTTTTCTTGCCTGATTGTGATGGCTAAGACTTCCATTACAATGTTAAAAAGCAGTGGAGACAATGGGCAACCTTGCCTCATTCCTGATCTGAGTGGAACTGATTTCAATTTAACTCCATTCAATACGATATTGGCTGTGGGTTTGCTGTAGATGGCCTCTATCAGTTTAAGAAATGTCCCTTCTGTACTGATTTTCTTAAGTGTTCTGATAATGAAAGGATGCTGGATATTATCAGAAGATTTTTCCACATCAATTGAGAGAGTCATATGGTCTTTGTTTTTTATTTTGTTTATGTGATGAATTATATTTATAGATTTACATATGTTGAATCAGCCTTGAGAGACCCTGGGATAAAACCAGTTTGGTCATGGT